TCCTCAACATTACCAGTCTCTGGTCAACTTTGACTTGTGACTGGTCATTTTGTTTATATTTACTGGCGGGAAGAAACAATAGCGTCGGTCGCCATTTTCCTCCCAGGAAAACACGAAGTGATGGTAAGTCATGTTTTGTTGTTTTCTTGTTTTAGACAAATAATTCTATAAAAAACTTATTCAAAAAATGTTCTACAGAGAAATAATGTTGTAATAAACAAAGTACTCGATATTTTTCCTCAATAATTGTTGTATTTTACATTATTATGATACATGTAGGTTAGGATGTGGGTTGATTGTGTTCAAGCAGATTTTTGCATATTCAATTAATGCAAACAGCTCAAATCGAACTTGGTCTAAAATTCAACGATTATTACATAGGTATTATTCTTTTACAACTCACAGTATGGCATGGACTCTCAACTACCACTGAATGGACAAACAAATCAAAATACAATGCATTGTTACGAATATAGACAAGATGAAAACCACATTAGGTACACGAAGATGTTACCATGAATAGAAGAAATAACGTAGGATTACACGTAATGATAGCTTATATTTTCAGTTTAATGGTGATTTACATAGAACTTGTTATTTTTTAACATTCTATTTTATAAAAGAAAATACAAATCGACTAGTCCCTTATGTACATGTACTAACTCTCCACTTACTATACTGGCCTGCTTCACCAAATATTATTCGTATTATTCCATTTTTTTATTTATAATACATGTATATGTTAAAGGCATTTAAAATAAAATCACAATGGTTTGTAGTTAACCCATTTCTGACGAAAACAGCCAAACAAGAAGAAAACAGAATTGATGATGATTTCATTCACTTGTGCCGTGCATTTAAAATAAAATCACAATGGTTTGTAGTTAACCCATTTCTGACGAAAACAGCCAAACAAGAAGAAAACAGAATTGATGATGATTTCATTCACTTGTGCCATGTTTGCTAAGGTAAACGTAATTTTTAGTCATTTTAATTAAACGACTAAAGGTACCCGTTATTTTCTTCTTAATACTGCATAAAAAGCTACAAGTATTTAACTAAATTTATATCTTGATTTCCTTTCAGTATAAATAAATTTTGTTTTTATATACTTTACTTTTGCCATCAAGCAACTTATATACGTAAATTTAGTAAATTATAAAGACTATTCTTCATTGCAGGACCTGTGAAAAAGAATTTGTAATGATCAAAGAAGAAAACAACCAGTAAATATATTCCTCTGAGGTAGGAAAACAAAGCAACAACTGAAAGGGTGCAACGAGAGACTGTTTCCTGAAGTTATTTCTTTGATTGATTAGAAATCATTTACAAACAGTAAAACTAATTTGCTTGAAAATATATAAATATCTATGTATGCTATATATGTAGGTGTCTGTCTCTTTTAAATTTTTACAATGTCTTTATCCAAATCTTATGTTTATTAAGATGATCAGTTTATTATTTGTGTTTATTTGGTGCATGAAATAACCATATTTATGAAATTTTATAATAAATAGTTCAAATTTTAGTTGTATAATTGTTATATTTTGTATTTGAAGGGCATTGATGCGTGATAATCAAAATGATTTGACGCGCATCGTCATCATGATTTCCAATATTGTCAAAATGCCTAGAAATATAACTAATTGACAGTCATTTTGATATGAAATGATAATCACTTTGAATATCGGAATCTATCATTATGACAAGAATACAGTCAAATAAAATCGTTATAGTGTACTCATGGTGACTTTCAATTAGTCAAGGTGGACTATCGAGTTAGTCAGTATGATTTTTCTCGAGTCGTCAAAATGAGCTCAACACATCGTCTAATTGACTAACTGCACCCTCATCTGGAGGACAATCAATCTGATTATTTTTTTAGGTCATGGTGACTAACTTAAATTTTCAGTGCAACTGCACTTTATTTACACTCCCGTCCTACGCATATCAAAAAGATATTAATAACGTAAAACAAATCAGTAGATTTTGTGTTCATATTTTCGGTCAATTCGCAAATGTGCAACCATCTTTCAATGGTTCCCTTTATACACAATATGGCTTTAAATTTTTTTTTCAAAAACTCTTAAAATAGTTCATATATCCTTAGGTAAGTTGTTTAAATTGTAGCGTACAGAGTTTTTAAACTACAGACTGTAGAAAGTATTGTCTTTATCTTTACTGTAGAAAAATTGAGTTTTTGGTTTATAAAATAAAGCATCCTTTGAGTTTTCTTAACAATATAAATACAATTCTGCTTTTTAAAAAATATTATTGTTTATAGTCTAGAATTTCGAAACTGCATATATTTTTTTTGGGGGGGGGGGGGGGGGGGATCTATGCTGTGGAAGAATTTTCATTTCTTTTGATTTCGTTATATTTTTCAGTAATTCCACACAATGAGATGAAGAAGAGTTAATATAAAACGGATGCTAGACTTCTTTGTTGAATCATTTGTGTACTCCTCCAAAAATCTGTTATAGTCCCGATGGACATTGTGCTGCTTTCTTGGCCTACATGGGTTTTTTTAATTCCTTTGAAGCAAAATGCGTATTTAAAAACAGAAAAAAAATGCCGTGTCTTCAACTTTACTTTAATTCAGATATATCGACGACTTTTTATCAATTAACAATTATAGTAATTTCCATGCCCGATAAACTTCGCTATATCCGTGAATTCGCTATATCCGTGTTCGTACACCCGCTGTGTGCTCCTTGTCATGGTTGGGAAATATCAGAAAAATCCGTCGTCAATTCTGTGTACAAATAATGGACTAACAATTAGTATGAAAAACGTCAGTCAGCATTTGTACTGAACATAGAATTTACGAAATAATGATTTTAAACGAGACCGCTGATATTCTTGATTCATCGAATTGTTTGTCAATAATTTACCTCGTTTTAGAAATTGTTCATACGTAGGGTATGCTCTTGCGTATCGAATCAACTGAGATATATATAAACTCCGTATGCAGGTGATAAAGGTATATTGCTGCATAAGAAAGGGATGTTGACGATTGTAAAGATGAAGTCTTCATGTTTATCATAGAGCTTGGTTGTAACATTACCACTATGTCTTTTTCAAGTAAAATATATAAATATGAAACAGATGTGTCAGACTCTGTGGTATCTTTTATCTCAAGCTCACCGGGATATTTCGTATCGACATAAGAATGGAAGTTATCATTGTTTATTGACAATATATATCTAAATGTCTAGTTGAAGGCCACAGCAAGTGTTTTTTTTTCCTTTCTCGTATAAGATTTTGGACAACTACTGCTTCATATTAATACAAAAATAAGTCTGCTAATGAAGGGGACGCAATCGGTACTCATGGGAATTCCAATAGATTGTCGGAAGACCTGGTCTCCAGAAATCACATAGATATTGTCAATCACAAACCCAAGCATCTTTTTTATGTCAACTTCCGGATACATGTGTGTACAGTCAGAATGTTTTTTAAAAAATAATTTTGCAAATAACAAAGGTAAGTAAATTTACAAGTTCCATTGTACTGAAAAAAAACAGCTGTCAATGATATCACAATTAAAGCCTGGACTTTAAATTATCATGTGGAATGTTTGTGTATAAAGTTGAAAAGTAGTAGGGTTTTAAGCTGATTTTGGTAAAACTTTGTGATTTCAATTTTTGTAAAAGTTCGTTGGAATTTTTAGGTATCTACATCTGATTTACACCACTTCTTGAATATATTGTTGCGTAGTACTCTTGAAGTTTCCCTTTTACTACTCTTTTATATTTTGAGGAGTTAAGAAAGAGGCTTGGTTGAGCATTAATTTTACTGGAACACACTATGATCTTTATTTGTAAGGATTTTAAGGATACATGTAATGAATCTTTTAGCAAATGTAACATGATCATTAGGTCGTATTAAGGCTGATTTGTTTCAGACTTAATTTAAGAGCTTTGGTTTTGTATTAAGTTTGAGTACTTGATCAATTGATATGTATGTCGGCCTCACGGCAGGTGTGACTGGTCTACAGTGGGGCTCTACTTCAAGGCAGCTGAGCACAGCTACATGTACAAAATTTCTAGGAGTTCGTTTGTAAGCACTGTATACACATTTGTACTGTTTGAATATTTAATGAAATCAATCACTGCTCGTTATCTGTACTACCTCCTTTTCATTTCGTCAAATGTTTCATAGTTTCTGTACATGTAGATTGGTCTCACCCAAATTAAATGAGTGTTGCCGTTGTTTGAATATATATTGTTTAACATCCCTCTCGATAATTTTTTTTACTTTTTTGGAGACGCTTTAACCTTTGTATACAGTTTATTGCATATTCTAATGAAGTTTAATTCACATTATGTTGTGTATGCAAAATTAACATTCCAGCTAAAATTTTTAAAATTGACCTAAAATATCACTGAAAATTTCCATTTACTGACCAATTTTATGATAATTCATTTTTTTTCTAGTTTTACAAAACAACATGTATTTAGAGAATTTTTTTTTTTACGTATCGCTTGAATTGAATAATTTTAAAGTCTATATATATATATATGGCAACACAGATCATAGACTGTTGTCTATGTTTACATATCAAGAACTCTCCCTTTGATGTCCATGATTGGAGGTCAATGTTTATGCAGTTGTAAGTTGCTGTTTATTTTCTGTTTAAAAAGTAATATAGTTATATTTCAATATATAATTAAAAGAAAACTTGTCAGAAACTAAAATTTCAAGTCAACAGTTGTATTAAGTGTATACATGTATTATTAACTTTTTCATTAGCGTTCCTTACAGACAAACATGAAAGCAAAGCATTTTTTTCAGTTGACCCTTAAATCCAAGAGTACATGAAAGAAAATATATATTATTTGTAGTAATTAAAAAAATCTTACGAAGTGAAAGTTTTTAATGTTTCGTTTTATAAAGTTATCTATATATCATTCTAAAACGTCTGTCTGTGCAGACCTCTTCTTACCAAGCTGCTCAAGCATTTGCCACCAGAAGAAAAGCAGAAAGAAAAACTCAAATTTAAATTATAACAACATTTTATTGCAGTTCTCGTTCTGACTGTGCCAATATTTTGACACAAGCACATAGTTTATGTCACATAAAACATATTTCTTTCATACAACATCAAGACTTGTAACATATATAATCATAACATAATAATGGCTCGAAATAGTTCTCGTTTTTTTTGCAAATTCTCGTTCACATATATAAGGCATTGTAAAAAAAAGAAAAGAAAAGAAAATAAACATATATATGAGCAATTTTTGCAGAATGAAAAGAGGGGTAAAAAGCAATGATAGTCAATATATTATAAAATTGATATAATGAGGAAATAATCTGAAATATCGTGATTTTTACAGTCGATAAAAACGTCTGGAATCACACAACTGTCGATATATTTGTTATTAATGAAAGATATGCTGTATCATTATAATAATAATTTATCGTCTGTCAATGCTGTCCAGAAGATAGACACATTTCCAGTAATTTGGTCAAGTGACCAGACCTTATATGACTTTGTCTTGGTCGAACCAAACCAAAGGCAATAGACTATAATTAACCAAACTATCATTAAAACTGTCTGGTTAAAGCAACTCACAAATCAGTGATAATTGTGTTGTCTTTCATGTAAAAAACCATCGCCATTTTGCATAGGTTACTTACAGGTGAAACTGAACTAATAAAATTATCCTATAAAATTATCAACTACATGAATGTTCTAAGAAAAAAAGTATGTGTATACTGAATGCCTATTCAACAAAAACAAATTTTTGGCGTAAATCTAGAGGTATGTGTAATAAATTTGACCAGACATCTATGTGTTCATCATTAAATGATCAGGAATTTTGATGCTCTCTGATTATAATGGTCTTGACGCCCTTTTCCTGACCTGTATACATAAGAGTTCACCTCAAACGAAGTTCCCGGAGGTTTAATCGGGATTTCCCTCTTTATCAAACTTGGATTTTTGTTTACATTTGTCCACCAATCAAATTGCGCGCTACAAAGTTTTTGTCGATGTGAAATATATGAAGATAACAAGTATTTGAGCCCAAGAGTCCATTATACATTACAAAATAGGAACGAAGCAAACACGGACCACCAAACTACTCATAGGAGATGGGATCGTGTGCCATGAAGAAGTGAGAATCCCCGGCCGACCGGTCACACCACAGTAAGCTCCTTGTCATGTAAACATGGGAGACGCCAGTAACGAAAGGGCAAAACTCCTTTTTTTAAATAGTTGTGTATAAATTAATAAATATTTTTTTAACTTTTAAACAGGCTGTTAAAATATAATCAAAATGAGTTTTTTGACACTATATTTTGAGTGCTTGCACTTGCTAGTTACAAGACCTAAAGTGTCCGAAATGTAAAATTCCTGATCATTTAATAAAATGGTCAATGACTTTTAAATTCGGTCTTCTCGTGACTATACGAACATGGTCAGGTATTGGTTAACCTCGGCCTCTGGACTAGGTCAACCAATACCTGACCAGGTCCGTATAGACACGAGCAGACCTCGTCAAAAAGTCAACAATTGTATAGTATTTCTTATATAATTGTACTCGTAAATTTTGTATATTAACTGTAAATTACCCATTTATCATTCAGAAATAAACGCTTACATTTAACAATACACTTGAGAAGACAAAACATGTTGATATAAGAAATATACATCCGAATATGTAATATATAAATGTATGTAAATTATAAAACAGAAAAGATTTTACCCATCATGTATCTCTAATAAAAAAAAACTAAAATTATTGTAAACAGCACATGTAGGACACTATGAACTGGGGCAAATGATATATTAAATATATATCCGAATATATAATACATGTACATAAATGTAACTAAACAGATAAAATTTAAAAAAAAAATGACGTCATAGCTTGTAAATCTCCTTCTCGTTAAGACTGGATAATTTTGTTGTCTTTCGACTTTTTCTCGTTTTAAAAGCGGGATTGAAAAATACTCACATTTTAACTTTCATCAAAAGTCATCTTAGTTCATTTTAATACCTTCTTATTTATTTCTCCAAGTTGTCCTTTTCTGTTGGGAGTTTTTAGAATATCGCTGCCATATTCCTTCATAAAGTTTGCTTGCATTTTAAAACTCGCGGACCATTTTAACACACAATGATATAGGAGAGGTAGCTACCCTTAATAGGAACACATAACTTATGTCAACTCTTGCTGGTTTCGCTAGGCGAGGGCGGATCTGGGGTCACTCTGGTTTTAGGTTCCGGCACACGACTTTGTTCATTCAATTCCTTTATGGCTTGAAGTTCTTTTTTCTCCTTCATTCGTCTATTTTGAAACCAAATTTTGATTTGTCTTTCCGTCAAACACAACATATGAGATAGTTCTATTCTTCTCCTTCTAGTGAGATATCTATTGAATTTGAATTCCTTCTCGAGTTCTAGGGTCTGAAATCGGGTGTAGGTCTGTCGTCCTCTGCGGCGTTGATTGGAGTTTGGACCTGCAATTAAACAATGATCTCATTATTTTTCTGATTATTGTTAAAGGATCACTTCATTATAAATAGGGATCTGACCTATAGGACCGGGCTTGGTTTTATTCTCTACAAAAAGCTTGTCGATTTCCGTTCTGAATAATGACATTAGGCTGAATGCATATAACAATTTGTTTTTCTTAAATCTTTATTTCAGTGAGTAGAGATAGGGGGAACCCCCTTTTTATTTTTAATTTTCTGAGATTGTTATCTCCAAATGTAATAGGCCTAATTGATATTTGTCTTTACTTCTCACTGTGCATAAAGGTAATGTCTTCTGTCTCTGAAATTCTATTCTTTATGTCTAGGCTATTTATCCGTGGATATAATGAAAACTTGTCATTAATGTGTGCAAATTATAAAGGCCTAAATGAAATCAAAGGAAGTGCATTTACTGAAATATGTAGTCAAAATTAACGTGATTAAATTCAAAGGAATATATACAATTGAAATTCATCGCTGCTCAATGCTGCCAAGAATACCCGTATCGAGTAACACACAGTGAGTTATTCTTATCCTCGGAGAAAGTGTGCTTATGCTGAGGTTCGTTCCACCTGACTGACAACTGTACATTGGATTGTTACGATTTGATATCTCTTTAGTGTTTCTTATATCAAGAATGAGCATACACAAGGTTTAGAAAATTGAAGGAAAAATACACAAGTCTATAAAAAAATTAAAATAGTCTTTGAAAAGGCGAAGTTTAAAACTTTATTTAAGTGTTGTACCAGGTGGATTCGAACCCCTGACTTTAAAAAGAGTGTATCCAAGGTATAAAAGTCAGCGCATATATCAACTGAGCTAGTCTGATTATTAGACTGAAATAGCATAAATTTAAAGCAGATTATGAAAATCTGGTTTCCTTATTTTTTGTAGGTTTTTTGTGAATTTCGACCCCAGGGCAGGGGTGCCCCTAAAAAAATCTTATCTTAAATTATTCCTTACATCCTAACCTATCAAAATATCACAAATTTATTTAGGGGCAGGCCTGCCCTGATGGACTTCAAGGCCAAAATTCATGCAAAAATCAAGACTTTAAAGGACAAAATGGTGTTTCGATCAACTTTGGAGATTTATTGTAAAGTTGTAAATAATAAATTTTAGGTATAAAATACAAATTTAAAAAAATTAGACATATGTACGGTAGAAAACAACAAATGAAGATAGATTTTTTTTTTGTAATTATTTTTAGGCGAAATGATCTAGGGAGGAAAATTCATGGATTTTTACAACTTCACTATCTTATTTTACACATGAAACGGGCTTTAATTTCCGATGTTTGTATATTGTTTTGCGTGATTTAAATGGTCTTTTGTGTGTTTACAAAGTGTTTATAGAATTTGGCGCCTTTCGACGAAAAACCCTCTTCACTATAGCAGTACAAGCTATTCATAGTATCAAATTATCTGCTCTTAAATTCGAGAACTTGTGCATGTGTCTTTGCGAAAAATAATACGTCTGAAATCACATCAAAAACTCAATTGACTTCCTTTGGATTGGTGTGAAGTTTTGGTATCAATGATTTCAATAACACAACTGTGCTTTTACAATGGAATATTCAATGTATAACGGGGTAATTGATCCTGCTTTTTCTGGGTCCAATAAGTAACTATCGGTGGTCTGTTGGGACCGTGTCAGGGTACCAGTCCGCGATATCAGCCGTGATCCCCACATTAACAGAAAATGTCCGCTTAGCGATTAGCCCGGGGATCAATCGTTAAGACGTGCATCGGTTTACGATAATATTGTTCAACAGAATAAAGGTTTGGATTGTCCTCTCAAGATAGGTTATTTATTAACTTATCAAAGCTGTCGCTATATACCTATTGCAGAATTTCAATCCAGATTGTTGAGATAATTTGAGTAAATTGTGAAAATAATAAGCAATATTAGCGAGAATTATTTGACAACTTAATCCCTGGCTCCAAAGACATTAACTCTTCAAAGAGTCAGTAGTCTTTGTGGCATGTAAAATAGAATGCTTTGAATTTTTACCAACACCACCAAATTTTGTACTGTTAAGTAAAGTTTGATATGTAAACGAGAGTATTCAAAGCAAACCAATAAATAAATATGAATTGTGTCAAATAGCTTGGAATATTTGACATACATGTACTGAAAAGATTTGAATTTTCTTAATTGTTAACAAATAGATATAAACTGTCCAGAAAACGTGCAAAGCATTTAAGTATTTAAGCGGGAAATGTACGTAACTAATAACACATACATGTATAGTTAGGAATTCTATAGTACAATTTAGTTACTATGGATTGGATGAAATATTATCTCAATAAATCTTTTCCACACGGTTAAGTTGTTAAATGAAACTCGCTTCCCCATCAATTCCACGTTTGCGCGTCTGTAAATCGAGGAACAAAAAATATTAAGCGAGTGTGCGGTAAATGGGTTTTACGAGCTATAAATAATACACTATCATAAAAGTTTTCCATTTAGATAATGTGTTTAATGTTTTTTGTATTATATTGAGCACTCTGTTTTATGAATAAATCAAATTGCAACATTATTCATTTATTTTCTGCCAAATTTTACACACTTCCCATGTCTGGTCTCAGAAACACAATCATGCAGAGGTGCTTTGCTTTCAACCGTGGAAGTGTGGAAGTCACACCCGATGTTGATATACATTTTGCATGGGAAACTAATAGGAAAGTCACACAGAAGTTTGTAGTTCTAGCGGTGAGAACACCATAACTTACAAGACTGTGGTCTGGCATTATATAAATCTCTGAGAAACCTCAATCAGATGAAATAAATGCATTTGCTACAATCTGATCCCCTCCAACAAACGTTATCTGACTTGCTAGCAAACTTGGACTATTCGGCACAATTGTTTCATTTTAAGTATCTGAAGGGGATAGTATGAAAGTAGCATGCCTCTTTCTTAAAAGCCGAAAACAACTTTGCAAAATTCCTGGAAGATAGATCTTGGAGATCTTCTGAAGAGTTTCTGTGAAGTATTCCTATAATCTCCAGCATAGAATAAATGGGAATACCTATGTGAAAATGTTTGTGTGCTAGGTACTTCTAATGGGCCATTAGTGGAATCTTGCTTGTAGGTTAATGTTTCTGAGGAATCGTCTTAGGTCAAATCCTCAGTTGGGAACACACAATGGGAGGTCAGATTCCAAAACCTTCGTTATTAAAAATTACTAAAAATTATAGCTTCTCTGTCCAATTATTAAGGAAAGACAAGATCAACATATTTTTAAAGTTATGTAGTTGGAGGTGAATGCTTGAACCAAACGCAACACGTAAGATGGAGGAGGTTTGCGTGTTGAGTAGTCGTGACAAAAGTCATATTTCTTCATAAACCAGGAGTAAAGTGTAACCAAACTAGCTACAGAAATCACACCAACACTTTAAATTCAGATCAACTTTTCATATCAAACGTTGAGTTTGTCAGCCGTTGAAATGGCGAATAAACTCGATCTACACGCCTGATCAGACAAAGCTTAAAACTTTATTTATGTCCTCACAAAAGGAAACGCTAGTAGTCAAGTAACAATCAAGGTGTGCTTCGAGCCCGCGCACCTAGACCTTTCGCGCAACAAGGCTAATTATCCGTGAATATCGATCTACCTATATGTCATCTGCTATAGTGTGTATTCAACCTTTCCTTGCACTCATTATAATGTGATAATTACAGAGTATGTTCATCAAAATATGCACCAGGTGCACATTTCATTTAAAGAATAATAATCTTATATTGGGTTATAGAGATCAAACAGTTTTAAACATCCATCAATATTGATATCGATGTATTTAAACTATGCATGTAAGTATTATGATCACATTTTTAAACAACCTGAAACAGATTTATTGGAATTCATACACAACACTGGTTTTATGTTCTTATTATACATGATTAATTTCTAAGTATATTTTAAGCAACTTAATGTCAACCCTTGTCTTCCCGCGAAAAGGATGAGTAACTGCAAGTTTCAGACAGATTTTAATTATGGCTATGGTATAAGATTTAATACCAGAGTAGCACATGGAAGTAACAATATTTCATTGAAAATTTCTTGACACCAACCGCGGCATTGGAACTTTTATTATTAATTCTAAAATGATATTTTATTTTCCATAGTTTCATTTTTATAATTCCCTTTTTCCTTTCTTGTTTTGTATTTTGTGTTTCCTATGATTATTTGCTCGTATCGTTGTTTCTTTTGGGTTTTTTGTGTGTTTTGTGTGAGTTTATTTCATTTCATTTATTTTTTTTCTCTTTTGATTTTTCTTTTTCTTGTTTCTTGTTAATGATCAAGATTTACGAAGAATTATATACACTTACAATCGTCTATATGTTCATTTACTAATACTGATTTTTAGGTATAAGAAACAAAGAATGTGTAAACAATAGCGTTGTTTAATATATTTATTCAACGACTGTTCTATTGAGGAAAAACGTTTGGAAAAGGAATAATTATTTAAGGGCCCTGTAACGCCGACATCGCAACAAAAAGGCTTGTTCTGTACTCCACCCTACACCTGCACTGTTGTCATGGAAACGTTTATCATATTTAATTTTAGGAAATTTTGATTGAAGCAATGAATTATTTTGACCATTGTCACGACGTAATTTTCAAGAACTCAAAACTTCAAATTTGTGCTTTGTCCGTGACATCATTTAATACTTTGCAGAAGTAATGTAGCTAATGAATTCGAAACACATTCTTTCTATGCTTTCTCATTTCAGACTGAATCATCCTTAAATTATAACTAAAGTAAAAGTTGAAAGTAAAAGAATATTTTTCATTAATAAAATAAGCATATTATACATTTATTTCAACCAACCCCCTCCACTAAAAGTGGCATGACATGCAACTAGGTATTTTTCCCATTTATTGCCTTTTTACTTTATATAGAGCTAAGTATTTATCCCATTATTTGTTTTATCCGTTACTGATTTTTAACAAATTATATGGTGTGAATCATTTTATGTTACACGACCACAGTAAGACAATACTATTTCTTACGAACTGTGAAGAATTCAAGTATATTTAAAAGTGTTTCCAGCCTCATTAAATTTCTCAAAATTACATCTTCAATGTTATCAAATTTGTTGACATTTAGTCACTTGGTGTTAAGTGAATCGTAATTAATGCAGAAATAGGTTGAATAATCATAGGCATCCCTTTGTCCCGTCGTATTGCAAACACGTGGAATAAAGTTTAGTAGATCGATTTTCTTGTTTATTTCCGGATTTCAAAACAAAATTATTCATGTAGATTTATTTCTTCAATACTTTTTTTCTTACTCTCTACTTCCTTGTCTTTAATATGTAAAAAAAAATAGTTTCAATTAATTTTATAATTTTCTCTCAGCGGAAATTTAAAAAAACGAAACGTTTTGTCAAATGCTCAGTCCAAAAATTTTTAGGTCTGTAAAGTCTATGTATTTTAGGACACGTAACAGAAATACGGAATAAGAATGGTCAAGACTGGATGTTGTCGGACAAATAAACTGCTATGTACGGCATCCTGGATAATCGTTTTTTTTTTTCGTTCCAGATTTGTATATAATTTATTTTTATAGGATATGAGCAATTTTTACATTACCCAATATGAAGGAATACTTGCCATTATTCCGTGGAAATATGTTAATTACGGTAAAGTGCAGAAAAGCAAAATGTTCTAATTTTGTATGACTGGAAATATGGGTTGTTCAAGACAACGGGCGTAGCTGAGACAACTCTTGTCTGCGGTTTTAACCTTCTTGTATTTGTTACAAAAATTATATAAACAGCAATTTGACATGATGTCCTGAGACATTCCAAAATCTAGGACCACCGGTTTTATTCGTTAAAATCTGAATCAGAAGTCATTCTGACCAGTTTTGATTTTTAAATTGCGAATTTTAGATTTTAATATCATCTGAAACTTTGGTCCTAAATGAAGCATTCGGGATTAAAATATTACAAGAACAATAATTTCAAATTCTCTGTGACAAAACAAACACCTGTACAGAATAATCAAAATCGACAGATTTTTTTTCCTTAAATATTATTGAATTTATTAATGACTATGTACGGCTCTGACAAATATTTCTAACTTGCTGAGCAGTAAACTCAATAGAAATTAAATCTAAATATACCGCGTATATGTTTTAATCTAATTTATTTTTCAAATATGATATTAGCATATTCAGTGAGCGAAATATGAATTTTATTTATACTATCTATACATCCATGCATAAATTTACAATGATGAACTAAGACGAAGCCTTAAATATACATATTTATATCAACAATAATTTCCAGCTATATACTTAACGAAATATGATTAGGTTAAATCAATCTTAATTTTATGCAATTTCATTCGTCTTTTAATCGTTTTTCGCTTTTTCTTCAAATAAAATGAGGAGAATAGACTTACAAACTTTTAAAATTTAGTTGAAAGTAAAAATGTTCTAATGAATATGCAAACTTTATACGGCTTATCAAGGACTCAGAATTACTAAATATTAGATATTAAAATCTACTAGTATTTTATAAATTGGAAATTTTCATATATCAGGTCAAAGGACGTTTATAAAAATACAAAAATGTAAAACAAAGCATGAAATTTTATTACAAAAATGTATACTTATAACAAAGGATTATTCTCTGTACAATAATTCATATAAAGGAATTTTTTCATTTTGTAAAACATTGTAAAATCAAAATAAAATGCATGAACCGTTGTTTAAGATTAATTTTTCCTTTTCATTCCTTTTATTTATTTATTTATTTATTTGTTTATTTATTTATTTATTCGTCCATTCATTTACCTAGGCCTGAAAGTAATTTTACACCCTGTGCTAATAGTGGACACTACATCGGTTATCAAGTACAAGAAATGTTTTTAGAAGGTCAAAGAGATTTTTCACTTTTGGGACAAGTTGCGCTGGCTTCGTCCGTTTTATTATTCTAAGTTGTCATTTATCCACGGGTTATTCAACACCTGCATACGGTAAAATGTGTCAATCAACTGACCAAAACAAATAGGTCGACTGACAGCACAACGGTCAATAGTTTAAGGGACTTTTTGAGCCAAAATATATGTACACCAACGTCCTAACGAGTGACGGTATAACGTAAGTACACGATCTACTTTACATTAAGACGTTGTGAGATTTTCTCCACTCAACTCGATAACTAGTCATTATTATTGATTTTTGTTCTGAGAAAGTAATTTTAATTAACTTTTTGATATCAATTACGGTCTATGGATTGTTCATTCACTTACTGCACATTTCAAGATTCCATATATTATGTGCTTCAATACCTTTCTGTCAATTAAAGCATTCTTAAGTGATATATAGTTGTAAATATGCACTAACTTTTATTTCTTTATGTTGAAACCGTTAAGCTTTATGCAAATTAAGACCTTGATGTGAACAATAAAATGCGCGTTTTACACATCAATACAAAGAAATAAATGTGCATCATCAAACATATTTTTCAATTAGGAATAAAATGGGAGTAAAATTAACCTTTTGTTATTAAATAATCCTACTACACTTTCATGATAAATTGTCCCATTTTTTCCCCTATATTCACACTTGTATGGAACAGCTATGTTGTCTAGATTTTTTTCCATCATAACACTTCTATCAAGGGGTCAGGAATATTACTTTTCTGTGTGTGATTCTAATAAATATGGGTTATTTAGATAATTTATGGGTCGCCATTAAAGTCGACTTTATCAATGGTGGTCCAGCTAGTGTGCGACCAGTGAATAAAATGCACTCAGTAACATTCCATTAACATGTTTTTAAGATCTCGTTAGGAGACTTTTAATTTACTTCATATTTCAAGAGTTAATATCAAATCCGACACACAAGATCTTCATTTTTTGCTCATCTTTATTTTTGAGACTGTTTATTTCTGGAAACCTTTGTCTCCAAGAAACATTTTTTGATGATTCTAAGTACATGTTGTTATTTTCAAAGAAACTATCTTCTATCTGAAATTTCCCACATAAAGTAAACTATACTTCTATCTCTTTATTGATTTATCACCATGACACTTTCATTATTTTCCTTTCTCGCCTACATTATAAATATTATATGGCTTGTAACAAATTTTCAGAGTAGAATTTTATGTAATCTGAATGTATGGGGAGAAAGTACCGCTAGCTTGATATGATTTAGCCTGATGGATGAGACTATTCTAACGTTAGGTTTCTGACCGATA